CTACAAAGCATCGTAGCATAAGACAGCAGAGATAAAGTAGATTTTGCAGCCGCGTTTTAAAGAAACGTTGTTACGGTTAAAAAGAAACTTACGTCCAGAGAACGTAGCTTGATAAATCTAATGAATTCGGCTCATCTTTTTCACCATTTTCCTATGTTTCTTTATAAAAGCCTCACAGTCAGCGACTTCTTCGTACGTGTTCGTTCGTGACATGACTTTCACGCAAGATATCGATATGCCACGAACGATGCAACCACACTGTACTTCCGCATATTTCTCCTTTGTTGGAGCTCATTGACGCCACATGTTCGATATGGCCGACACATTCGCATACACGTTTGCCTTATTAACGATAGGAAAGACTGAACGCGTAAATAACGCAATCTCTTCTACCGTAGTATCTTCTATTATAATATATACTATAATAACTTCCAAGCAAGATTGCGTGTTTTTCGAACCGAATTTGTTCGATTATTACTAATATTTGTTATTACTTATAATTATAAATACTCATATATATGATTATTTATTAATTACAATTATTACTATCTATCTCGTATTTTTTATATAACATTCTATTCACAAGATCTAGGGAAGATATTATTAGGTTGTCCGAGAAAGTAAGGAAACAATAGACGCATAATGTTTTTTGTTTTATATTAATTTATTGAATTATGCACGAACGTAATAATAGAAATAGAACGAACTGGAGTACACCTAATACAATAAAATAATATAAAACAGAAATTATTGCTCATCTATTATCACCTTATGAAACGAAAGAAACGTTTCGCACAACCTTACATAATTTTATAAGCGAATTACGCACAACCTATGCCATGAGATATCGTTTGATAACGAAACCGAAGAATCAGGCTGTTAAGATTTGTATCGGCACATGAGCTACTGGACAATTCGAATCATCTCAGCGAATATTGTCGGTATACTAATTTATTTAATTGTTTTAAGTATATTTGAAGGTTTCAACAACGAGCAATCTCGTCTAATAAATTTCACGATCAAACATCCTCTACACAAGTTCTCTACAGATTTATCGTCGTTTAAAGGAGAGATATCTTCGGCTCTGGAATAAAACTAGGAAAATAACGCGCTGTATTTTTATGCGATGTTTAACATAAAAGTTTCTCTTTTTCCTGTGTGTATGATATATCAAACAGAAAAAGTAACTACGGGATTTAGAGAAATATCGGGAATAACAAGCGAACAGCAAGAAAAAAGGGATAATCGCGGTATTTGTTACGCTCTGAAAACTCAGTTACAGTCGCGATCGCGCTCCGACGAGAACGAATCGTTGTAGATTCGCAAAATGTAGGCAGCGTCGAGACGCGTTATTTATTCACAGCGATAAGAACAGTTCGTTTAGCATAAATTAGCCGAACGCGGGATACGCAACTTGTTAAACAAAACGGTGGTAGCGCGTGATGGACGGCTGTCGATTACGTCCAAGCGTCACATACGCGTATTATGCATTTCTGTGTTGTTCAAATAACTTTGTCAAAAATTCTGCGTCTTTTTATTTCTCTTAACTTAATTGTCACTCCAAATGCCAATCGCTATATGCGAGTCTTCTTATTAAAATTGTTTATTATAATTGATTAAAATTATTATCGGATTAATTCAATCGATTACGTAACGTCGAGGATTCGCTGGAGAACAAGGATTCTTGGCGTTTAGAAATTAACGAAGAATATTTTTATGCCAGCTTCGCTACAGAGAATATCCAGCTTAAACGAAAGATAAGAATCGTATTAATATTAACAACTTCCACCGTATTGGGAAAACTATCGAGCTGTTGGGAAGCTCATGACGAGATTTAAGCAGAAGTTAAAGTACATTTCTGTAGAATTACTACTTTATCAAGTAATATATATTTTGTTCAAATATTCATTGTGTCTGCTTCTCGAAAAGGATATCGGCAAAAGTCGAGGAAAATTTGCACGTCAACAAAAATTCGATTCCCCGAGTTTCGAAATAAATGATAGGATTTCCTTGTAACAAGGTTAATTAAAGAATCACTGTTAGCAAAATATTCCAATCGACGCAGAAGAATTCTCTTTGAACGATTTAATAATAAATTACATTTCATTTCAGTTCGTTTTACACGCGTTATACCACCTACGTCATGGCATGAACACATTCTCGAATCAGATGCATCGTTTCTGCGGTAATGAAGCAATGAGCAATCCTCTTTTCCAATAAAACACTGCTTACGTAAAATCGCCGATTATTTCTATCGCATACCTACTCGTTTAACGCAATTTTTATTTCCGTCCTTTCGTGCATTATAAGCAAAATACATATCTCTTTCACCAACTTCAAAATCATTAAAGCTAATAAGAGTTATTAAATATTTTCTTTTATACTCGATATGCCTGTGCTTCGATGAAACTCGCTTTTAACCACGATTTCCATACCGTACTTTAACCATGACGCTATATCTGCCGATAAGACCCGACGTTCATAATCACGCGAAAAATCCGTAAAGCAGAGCGTTGTAGACCATTTCGTAAACGATCGTACACTGTTTCAGGGAAATTCGGTGTGACGGCAGAGATGACGAGTCCAGCGTGTTTATCAAACTCGCGAAGAGGCAGCGTGTTGTTGCATGTACCGCGTGGCAGCAGCGGGTTTCACGCGTACACGTGTCAAAAGCCAGAAGTGATTCGTGACTCGGTCACTGTGCTCCATCCGCGTATTTATACGTATGTATGCGCGTGTAGAGCGACGAGTCATTCGAAAGAGAAAGAGAGAGAGAGAGAGAGAGAGAGAGAGAGAGAGAGAGAGAGAGAGAGAGAGAGAGAGAGAGAGAGAGAGAGAGAGAGAGAGAGAGAGAGAGAGAGAGAGAGAGAGAGAGAGAGAGAGAGAGAGAGAGAGAGAGAGAGAGAGAGAGAGAGAGAGAGAGAGAGAGAGAGAGAGAGAGAGAGAGAGAGAGAGAGAGAGAGAGAGAGAGAGAGAGAGAGAGAGAGAGAGAGAGAGAGAGAGAGAGAGAGAGAGAGAGAGAGAGAGAGAGAGAGAGAGAGAGAGAGAGAGAGAGAGAGAGAGAGAGAGAGAGAGAGAGAGAGAGAGAGAGAGAGAGAGAGAGAGAGAGAGAGAGAGAGAGAGAGAGAGAGAGAGAGAGAGAGAGAGAGAGAGAGAGAGAGAGAGAGAGAGAGAGAGAGAGAGAGAGAGAGAGAGAGAGAGAGAGCAACCGTGGCTCTTTGCTTCCGTCGTCAAAGCCATGCGACCGTCCGCTTCTCAAATCAGCGACTACGTGTTTCGTTAAATATGCAATCGGTAATCAGAAAGTTTTGCAGCAATTTTTGCCTATGCACTACGAGGCAAAAACGTTTTGTTGGCCTCGTAACGCGTCACGTCGAGTGATTTTTCTAAAAGCAAACGATTTTTCTAAAACATATTTTCGAGAACAAAATTACTTTGTACGTCACCGTGTACAGTTTCCCGTAGTTTCTCTCGTTCGTAGTAAAATAATTGCAATAAAAATCGTAACCATGGAATTTCGAAATGTCGTCTCTCAGGTCATGGAGTAAGTATCGCGAGAGAGATACTTATTTATACAGCGAGCGAACTGCAACTAACACGATTCGACAGAATATATAGCTATTCGATGGTACAATTGAATTTTCTTTAAACGAGATCCTTAGGGTTCTTGTAGTTAAAATTGTTAGAGGTTTACGGGTGTAAACCCTATACCCTTTTGGAACACTGTTCTCAAGTTTCGCCAGTATCGTAGCTAACTTCGTTAGGCATCCAAGAGATCTTATACATTATACAGTATCGGCGAATTCTCAGAGTCCTGATGAAACTAACAATAAGTACGATGCTGACGAAACATCGAAACATTCTTCTCAAAGAACACGCTTCACACTCGGAGGACTGTGTCACCGTCTGAAGTCCTTGGCTGAAGAACCTTCGACTTCTTTAACCGTTTGCCAAACAGACAGTTCGAAGGGAAGCTAAGCGTTTGACGAACATTTATCCACACCGATAAAATCAAAAGTTTGTTACTTTTTATCTCTCTTACATCGTTAATTTGATTTTGATTTGCTTTGGTTTGGAGCTGTTAGGTAGATGATACATTTACACTGTACATGTGAATGGGTGTGTAAGCGTCAGAGGACGTTCAGACTTAGTTGAAACAAAAGACTGTTGGTAGCTGTTAAAAGCATCTAGAATAGTCCGTTTGACAAGAAGCGTGCGTGTAAGAAAGTTATCGAGGTCTTCGGATGTTGTGTGCGAATAAAGCAATTAATTTATTATACCTCAACAGGAGCAAACGATAGGATCAACGTACAGATTTTTCATTGAAATTCTCACAGAGCAGACGACATACTAAACTGAGCCTAGAAAAGCATAGTTCTAATATCGGCGATACGATAATCTTTTTAATTCGGTAGACGTTTAGAAAGGCGATGTATGCCTTCTCGTACGAAACGCGATTCAACGGAAAGAAAGTTACCTACTTTGCCGTAAGCTCTTGAAATTCCCAGAAGAACAAACTCCTTTAAAACGTGCCCCCCTTTTATGCATAAAAAGGTATTTTCTTATCGTTCTCCGTGATCGCGAAACCCAGCGAAATTGTTACGCAAAACGATCGTATCGTCGCACGGCAACCCTAAAATAGTTCAACCGTTCCCTTCTCGGACAACTGCTGATTTCCATATTCATTTTCGATGCTAACCTTCGTTTCTCGTCGTTCGCTTGCCTCTACCATCATTTTCCATGAATCGTTCCCGGTAAACTTATAGACGTTTTGTCAAAATTCTTGTTACGCTTTGCAAAACCCTTGAAATTCTCGAATAAGCTCGAAACAATCTACATACCGTAGAAGGCACATTACGTAGGCAGATCCGTAAAATAAATTCCATTGCTAGATAACAATACGACAAGGATTTTCCGCGACCACCTATCGCATTTCATTTTTATTTCTACGCGATATTTCACTGCAAATAAATAAGAAGATATATTTGATTCTAACTCACCGACGAACACCGCAGTGCTGTTGTGCCGTGGATCGTAAGGGCACAGTCCCAGCCCATCCATATCGCTTTCCTGCGCGTACGCTCCATCCTGAAACACGAATCGCAAGTATCAACGTTAGAAATCGCGTGAGAAACTCGCACCTTTTCGTTCGGTGGTCAACAATCGTATTTCGCGGTAGTTAACAGCGTTGCATGTACGCCAACTTCTACGACGACTTAACGTCTTGATCGCTTCATTAACTTCCACTGGCCGCTCCAAACACCTTTTTTCCCTTGTAATTACAGAAACGTTCGCGATGAACGTTACGGATCAGCGTTTTTATTACATTTTACAGATTTTCATAGCCGTTCCATGCTTACGCCGTGATCGGAAGTAAACCGCCAGGAATAGAAAAATGAAGATAGAGGGCGAGTCACGCAATTCCAAGGAATCGTATTTCCTGTTTAGAAAACGACCTTATTTTTCGGCGAGGTGCAGCAACGCGCGTACAATGTTTAGCCGCGGTTCCTGTCTTCCTTCCCTTTCGTTTCTTTTTTTTTCCGTTTTCTTTTAACGAAGTCGCTCTGTTTTGCATATCAAGAAATTAGGATGCTGGCCCGGAGAAATGAATATTTCATGTAGCATTTCCAACTTCCTAATGAAGCGTAAAGAGCTTGTTTCGTACAGTTTTATTGTTTGTTCGTTAGTTCGTTGGTATGGAATATACAAAAAACAGTGGCTGGTTTTCAAGCTTTTGCAAGCTTTTTCAAAAATACGACTGTGTTCGACTTTGAACATTTCAAAATTACCTTCGGTTCTTTCGTACACGTTGTTTATTATATTATTAAGGAAAGTTTAATCTATTAACATCGATCCAGTTTTTAGGGAACGCGGGAAGAATCGAAAGGCAGTGCACTTTTGTAGAATTGTTCGCAACGTATACCGCGTAACAACGTTTTAAGAACCGAATTCGATTAAGTTGGAGAAACCAACTTACCAGCTGCCTCGAATTCTATACTATGAGCACAATCGTATTAGTTAACGCCAATTCGATCAATTCGATTCAATGTACCACCTAACTATTAATCGAAGTCGAGCGCACAGTATATGAAGTGTTTCGTGTAGTTAACTCTGGTCCAAGCTACATACCTTGGTTAGTACCCCAGGGAAATTTCTTTGACAGAAATTTTCTCCAGTAAAGTGGCCTTTTCCAATCTGATTTCTAATCAAAAAAATCAACCAATAAAGAACGACGATATTCATGTGAAACTCGACTCGACCCTCGTCCTACTTCGTTTTAACGCATAACTCTGTTATTATTCGTACGGTAGAAATATTAATAAAACTTTGCAGAAAGATATCCATCGAGAGAAACGAATCTACAGAGAACACCGCAAAAGGGGAAAGAGAGAAGACAGCGCAAAGATTAAATTTGTTTACCTTTCGCATCCGAATCTTTTTAATTTGAAGGAACAATATCGCGCAATTACAACTTCACGACGCGAATTCCCCCACTGGCTTCAAATTTCACCTTGCAATTTACTCTGTAACTACATTTCTTTCACCATCTCGCTGCCTCGCAAAAGGATTATCTCGTTATGCGCGTTTCTTCTCTAGCGCTAGACCGTTCCTGAACTTTTTGCTATTATAAGGTCGCTTCTTCTTCTAGCGAACGTCGACGAAAGAGAGAATCTTACACTTTTCAAAATTTTCTTTAGATATTTGTCCTTTAACGTTCGTGCACGTTTTGTTATAACGAAACCAAGGTAATTTTCTATAGCTTTTCTCTCATTGAGTTATTGGTTGCCACGAGGCAACGCAACGCGACGCAACGGTGTGTCATTAAACATCAGAAGTTACAATACAATACGACTGCGATTAGAACGAGCAAATAAACGCGAAATATCGCAACGAACATTGGATATTATACGTACAAACGATATTAGCGTTATTTCGACGATAATACACGGAATTATTGTTTGGAATAATTTGTATCTTATTATACTTGCGAAAGCAACGCACAGTTAACACGCGATGACAGTTCACGTTCGAAGAATTCAAACGTTTCCACGTGCCATTTTGGCCGTTGATAGATTTCTAATTTACCTCGGAGCGAATGTTATTTGTTTCTGTGAATGCAGAATGCTGAAAAATCCGCGCGAAATTTTAACTTATCTTCGCGGTGATTCGTGAAAAAACAAATTTTTTTTACACCGTATCGATAACTCTTTGTTCGTGTCCGAGTATCGTGAAAACGTTTAAAATTGATAGGAATGATTTCATTTCGTACAAATATACGATTCGTACCGACGTTTCGCAGATTGCTCTTGTTGAAAATGTTCAAAAATTCTATTCCGAAACATGTAACACTCGATAATTTGATTATTTGAAAATATATTTCAACCCGTGACAGCCAATAAAATTTCAACGCGAATAAGAAGCGTTTATATCATTTAAAGAAGTTATGTTCGTACAAGTAGTCACAGTAGCCTGAAATTGTTAAAAACCTGATAGTTAATAATCTGTTAGAATTGGAAACGTTAGAGTTTTAGGAGTTTCTGGAGTCATAGAATCTAATTCATTCTAATATAAATATAATAAGATTTATGCGTATCATAAGTTAGTCTATGGATTGAAGAATCTATGACCGGAATTTCATAGGTTTTCAATGAAATGAAAAACGAGAATTTAGTGCAGATTTGTACGGTTTCGAGTTAGTGTGCGACATTCCCTTGTCCTTAACACTTTGATTATCACGTTGGTCATTGGTGACCGGAGCGCTTGAACTTCTTACAATTGTAAAAATTGAATGGAAATTGACAGTTAGGGTATTTTGAATATAATCGATAAATAGAAGATACTTTGAAATAAAAAGTGGCCCATTGAACAATTAAACATTTTTATTAGAACATCAATAAAAAAAATGAGAACAAATCTTGCATCTAACGGTCACTGCGTTAAAACACTTTAAACATAAATGTGGCTCATCGATACAATCTGGACAATAGGTGGTCACCTTTTTGGTCCGATTCTTAGCAATTTTTGATCCTAACTGTGTGACTTTTTTTTATAACACTCTGCAAAATTTTCCTACCAGGTACGCTTGTCCTTCTTTCTTCTGCATTTCGTGTCGCAATATTTGTCGAATAAATATATTTTACGGTTCCGGTGAATGAAACTGTGTAAGGTGCATTACGAGTGCCATTCTAAAATCTGATATCTTGATTTTTGTTTTTGTTGCTTGTTTATAGAGTATCATCGCGTTTGAAATTGATGTATTTAACAATAACTCTAAAGCTAATTTTATATACCACTCGAGGGTTCTTCCATGTGGTGTAGAATATGCTATCATTTGATCTGATAAATCTACAGCACATTTTCCTCTGTTGTAATCTACCATTACCATTGGTTTATCACAAACATAATTTTCTTTGCGGACCTCTACCATTTCAGCCTAATATCTTCTACACGTTTCAACAATATATTCTGCACGTTTTGCTTACAATAAAATAACGAATGCGAATGGTTTGTTGAAATAAACGAAGCCTTGTCATAATATGTCGCTATCAACTGTTACCAAGGCGACACGATGGTCACCCGTGACCACCAATAAGATAGGTCCATTGGGGAAGAATGTTGTCGTACATCAGCAATTTATTATTATTTTGCCATTATATACTTTGAATAATAAAAATACTGCCATGGCTTCCTGAGTGAAACATGTGATTTCGGCGTGGCAGTCAAAGTGCTAAAACGAATAAAGTACAGTAGCGAATCTTCATCGTCAGTTTTAGTTATATCCTGTATAGATATTATTGTTTCGATGGAGAATGTAATTTCAACATAATTTACAGTGTAGAGTAAGAAGAGCGTTTAAGATTGCTCTACAATGTGTTATATTTTTATAGGACTTGAAGGTTCAGGAAAATATAGCACTTGAGAGTACTAGAACAATAGTATCTTGAACATCTATGCTTTAAGAGGTGAAACCGTGCGTCAAAATATGAAAATATCGCGAGCCATCGCTAAATTTGGCGAAGCACTGTCCGATAAAACCCCTAAGCGATAATAAAATCTCCAAATTATTTTGTTAACTTATGCACCATAGCGAAAGTTAAAGAATTACTCGATCGTTTAATCAAGTGTAACGCATTTATTACTTTGACACGAATGATAGCATGTGGAAGTAACTGTTATCTTATTCGAGTATCGTTTTTTCGGATAGTATTCGTAAATAATTGCTTTAATGGAATGCAAGAATAGTAATTGAGAATAGGTAAATGAATATGTAGGAGCTTGTCGAATTCACAACTGCTATTATCGAAATCATACATTCTCAGCATAGAAAACAGGATTATTCTATTATTCATTGCCCGCCTTTCTCTCGGGGAACTATTTTCTCACCGACGTATTTTGCTACCTGACAAGAAGGAATATTTTTTGCTTTAAATATTGAATCGTGCAGCAAATATTTATTCCTCCGAACGATAATAATAAATATTAAATGTTTATTTTCAATTTTTACACGATACATATATGTACTGGGTTGGTAACTGAGAGATTGCAGATTTTGTTATTAGGTGATATTGATAAAATCCGCAATCACTTAGTTTCCATCCCAATATATATTCCGTTTAATTGATCTATAGATATTAGGTCGTCCGCAAAGTTTCTTTCGTTTTATGAGGAAATAATGGATGCACAACATTTTCCGTTTTATATTATTTTATCGAATTACGTATGATCCATTTTCTTCTATCAAAATAAAGATCACAACGTTCGACAGATAAGGTTTCATGTTTGTATAATGATGCATCGTTGTAAAAGACGGGTCCTTACTTGGTCCATTATTTAAATTTGCCTATTTGTTATAACGTGGTTTAATATAAATTATCGTTGTATCTATTTTATTATTTATTATTTATAACTACTAAGAACGAATAGCGCTATTTCGTCGATATCATCGAATGATGGGAAACGAATTGTAAAAATCTCATAAAAAACGATTGTAAAGAGATCGAGTCAAATTGTGTACACGAAACAGCTCCAGTCCACTCTCATCGCCCCGTTCCCCAATTCCTTACTTGTACCAGTAAGATACACGTGGTCACGTATACGTACACGTAGCCAGCAACTACTACTAATATACATGGTCAGAAAAACAAAAAGAAAAAAAAAGAGAAGAAGGAGAAAATGGGAAAAATCGCCGACATCCAGTGGCACTGCTTAGCTGCGCACAATCGATACATTGTGTGCACGTGAAGAAGCGTTGTCGAGATTGGCCCGTTTCGCCAAGCGCTTTATTCCCATCTCGCTTCGACCTTTTTCGTATTTGTATTTCCGGTGACGTATACCGAGCACCGGTGAACCGGCGAGTTGAGAGAAAATCCGCACGTTCGGCCAATAATTCGTCCCTTTTGTTGGAAAGGTTGGGATAATTTTGGCGAAAGTCGAACGCTATCGAACTGCTTCGATTGTTTCTTTTACAGTTACAAATCATTCGCGTTGAACATACACGAGCCACGAGTAAACGCATATTTTAGCGAGTATTAGGGTTAGTGAGGAAATTTTGCGAGCATTGCTTAAAAGTCTAAGAAAGTTGCCGATTTAACGAATTTCTAATTGATTTTCTATTTGTCCGCTATAATTTAGAGTTTAACGGAATATTTGCACGGACAGACGAAAAGATATGAAGTGGTATGGTGTAATAGGTACTGAAGGTACACTCAAATATGTTCAACAACCAATAACGTTTATTAGACTATATCACTCGATAACAATGAACGATTAACAACGGTTGAATGACAGTTAACAATTAACAACGGTTCAACGACAATTAACAATTAACAACGGTTGAATAACAATTAACAGTTAACGATAGTTAATGCTTGACAACGATTAACAACAGCGACGATTGACCGATCTCTCGAAAATAGCCGACTCGTTTCTTTTCACCATTCGAGCTTCGCGGCTCGGGGTAGAATGTCCTTTTTGTTTCAGATCGAAAGGATTCTTTCCTTCGTTGCCCATCGATATCCCCACTAGCGTGCGTTCATTAGATGTGCCGCAGTGTATGCTTGACAGAGCCGGCTTGGGCTCGAAGCAACACATCTGGTCGCTAAACGTAGCCACAGTCACGGTGTCACGTAAACTTAAGGGTTGAAGAATGATGAAATAAAGTGGCTGAGTCGTAACGCAACTATTAATTTTCTTTTAATTAAACTTTAGTATGAATTCAGCGATCACAACGGAATACACACTGAATTAACATAAATCACAATTCACTCCAACCTCGTTATGTAAGACTTAGTTACACCGATACGTTAAGTGCGCGACTGTTATAAGGGTAGAGACCGGTAAAGATATGTTGACTATTCTAAGGATACAGAATAAGTGAGTTTTCTGGCGATACTATGTCTGAGGAAGACTAGGGGTGGGTGTGTCTAAGGACACGGGACTATCGGATTCGTTGATGACA